AAAAAAAAAAATATTATGCAGTGCTCAGGTTGGGGTCTACTGTGACTTATTCTACCATCAAATCAGTACCGGTCCGAATTGAGAGACATATCCAAGTAGTACAACTGTGAACGCTGCATTGTAATCGCTGATCGCTGGACTCGATGTATGGATAACTACGAAGGATTCAAATACCACAAAAATAGTCCAATCGGTGTACGAGAGAGCTGCTTCCAAGTCACCATTGCTCCGTTGACGCTCGACTTCTCCTCATTCTGCATCAAAAGCCTAGCTTAAGCAAGAGGAGATCATGTACGGACTCCATAGGGTATGTCTTACATCACCTTCACAAACTCTGCCTGAGGACCCATATTTTACTCCTCTGTGAGATCTCGTCGTCTCCACTCTGCCTTGCAGATGTGGTCTAGAGCCCATTGATTCTTGAGCTCCAGAGTCATAAGAGGCTAAGAGTCGAGCCATTGACGTGTCAGGCAGAATTTGTCAATCATCAGGTGAGCTCTTGTCTAGGAACGTATTATCCCAGATCCGTACCACTGCCCGATTGAGTTTGACGATGAGACCTAAAAGTACGGAGTCTCCGTCGATCTCCAGATAACCCCTGTTATCGGTGGCGTGTTGGTGGCACGCCATGGCGAGATGTCTCAAGTGGCTTCATCCTCACGGCATGGCTAAAGTCACAGATACAAGGTCACTTAGTAGACCTCGTTATCTGTAGAGTTGAAAGCTACCAGGCATGAAAGACATCGTGACCGACGGACAATCGGTGGGGGCGTTGGGGGCGGCAAATGGAACGTGCTGGCATCTCTGCTTCTCTTGATTTCTGCAGCCGCTGATGCACTCGGGCCAGCAGGATTGATTGAAATGTGGCTGCCGCTGAGGGATTGTTGAAGCCGGGATTCAAAGGCGCCATTATCAACAGCCAGTCGGTCTAGAAGCCAGTACAGAGGAATAGGGATGAGAGACCACGCAAATAGTTCTAGGTACTTGACAGGGTTTCTGCCTTAGTCTAGGTTGACGACAGGCAGTCTGTTGACCTGTACAAAGAACCTCATGAATGTACTGGGAGGCACCGACGGAAGCCGAGACTGGGGCGGTTCCGTGTCGGCACCTTGTTTGTTGATTGTTCACTACCCAATATTAATACCCCACTATTAAAAAATCGTCCACCACACAAATCCTGCTTTATTGGCACCTTTAGGCCTTGTCTCTTTAAGGTACAGAGTAGTTCCGGCAGACACTGAGCAGTGATCCCGTCTCAGAAAGTTAAAATTCCTTGGAAATGGCCGGAAGTTTGCTCTGGCTCAGGTACGCATCGCGGAAGCTAAGATAGTCTAGTTCACTACCATGTTTTCAATCTCCATGGAGATCAGTTGTTGAGCGTTGAGATCCCTGATCGTAGTGGTTCGAAGTCTTTTTCTGCTTCGTTTCTGGAATAGGTACATACTACAATCACCCCGACATTACCCCGTACTGTCAGCTACTTGACAGGTCATATATCTATCTTTTCCAGTGACTGTCAAAGTGTCAAGGAAGATTTGTAGGACAGCTTGGAGTGGAACCCACTGCCGATCATAGCATCATGGTAGTATCATAGTTTGTAATAATAATAATATTAGTTGTAAAAGGCTAGAATGGCGCCAGAGCTCTTTTATATTAGCGTCGCGCCAAATCTAAGACATCTAGGTAGCAAACAGATCCATGGAGCTACAGTGGCATGTCAAAAGTTTGAATCCAGCGTATTTACCGCTAGGCCTGATTAGGCAACTTCCTCATATTCTATCTGCAGATTTGAATCTCTCAATACCTCTCTCAATAATAATCAATATTATGGCACCTCGCAAAGAATTATCTCCATAGATATCTGGGCGTATCTGTGAGCTCCATAGTGTTGGATGGAGTTATTAGGATCAAATCTGCATATAAAATATTGCGATTGCCTAATTGGGCCTAGCGGTAAATACGCTGGATTCAAACTTTTGACATGCCACTGTAAGAGGGCTAAGGTAACTTAGGTAAGACTTTTTGCGAGTACCCTAAACTGGGATAATTTGCTTACATCTCCACCAGTTACCATCATTTTGATGTATTCAGCAGAATTTCTGATTTCTCCACTCGGAGAAGTCCATAATGACAATTATCTTGCAGATAAAATAACAATTTCTGTTACCAGACCAGATCGATATGATTACATGACCAGTGCATCACTATGTGCTTAATTATTTCTCGAACAGCCGGACATTTACGAGTTGTCCTTAGCCAGTAGATCTCCAAAGCGCAGGATCTCCGATGATGAACCTGTTCTGATACGTCATGAACTGGCGGTGCGAGGATCTCCGATTTCAGCAGAAATCGGCCGCTTACAGTGGCATGTCAAATGTTTGAATCCAGTGGTATTTACCGCTAGCCTAATTAGGGACTCCCTACTCTACTACTAAGTTTTATCTTTAAAAACCTCACCAAATTAATTAACCTCATGGCGCCTTGCAAAGAATTATCACCCCAGATGCAATCAGAACATCCATGGGGTCCATAGTATTAGGGGGAGTTGTTCTAGGATTCATAGAAAATCTATTAGGATTCCTAATCAGGCTAGCGGTAAATACGCTGGATTCAAACATTTGACATGGCCACTGTATGCCACCTCCCTCCGGCTTATGCATGTCAAATTAAACACCGACGCTCAGGAGGAAAAGCTTCTAAGCGAGCGTCGCTTCCTGGTCTCCCTTGCATAGTATTGGTTTTCAATTCTCGGATACTCTAGTCATCATTAATTATTAGTTAACAACAACAGGATGAATAATGATATCTAATATCAAATGTCGATCAAATCTTCGATTACCAGAGGTGGATAGACACGGAAACTTGGAACAGGCATCCCGATGGATCTTAATTGGTATCGGATTTGCCCGGCATCACACCCAGTTCATACGGGGCCACTTCAGTTCGTGGAATGTTCTCCAAATTTACCTAAAATTGATAGAGATCATCAAACCTTAGGACTGCCAACACGTTGTACTATTGATATACAGACTAGTACCCGCAACCCTGTGGATACTGAACTATTTTCTTTTGTCCCATTGAGTCGGGATCGGACATTTTGCATTTTACACATCAATATCGCGGGATCAACATCGGCACGCAAACGCCGAAGGTTCAACATATTCCGAAGAGGTAGCGAGATTTCTCATGACATGCAATCAAGGGATATGATTCTGTACAGTATCTAAGCGAGAGAGACGTGTCAAAATCGATCTTCAGGGAGCAATAATAATAATATCATTGTAGGCTGTTTGGATGCAACGTCAGGGTCACTGTTGATGAGTAGGTAAAGAGGTACCTAAGGTAATGACAACAATAGATGGCAATGTAAGCAGATTGTAATGTGCTGTGAAACTTGATTTTCTTTTTCCTTTTTAAGTATCAACTAGAGAGGTATTTCTGTTCTTTTGTCTTTTCTATCTCTATTCGAGACTAGCGAGTCGTACTCCATCATAGCTACTACCCACCAACCAGTCAGTGGCTTGATGCTCCTCAGACTTTGATTTGTATTTTCCTTGTTTCTTCAGTAGATAGTTTGAGATAGTTCTTTCGACGCACAATCGACGGCCAATAGCCTAACATTCTTCTGTTTCCATTGCAGGAAGCCAGTGGAGATGAGGAACTACACTGAAAGTGGACCGCTCCCGTTCCTGACCAGGCTGATTTCCAACAATCCTGGATCCAGTAAAAATAGATACTGGACAGGATGCTGAATCTCTTGTCATGGGGCTGAATGTGGTTCTTTCCCTTGTGTAAAGGCCGTGGGTATAACATTCGCTAACTAGACGTTGATTATACATTGACCAAGCAATAAAAAAAAAATATGCTGGTAAAATTAGCTCTTCCGGTACATCTACACCGTACTGTACCTAGTAGCTAGCGTGGACCAATCAGTCAATCATCATCTGGCTTCCTGATTGGAAAAACCCTCTTTGTCCTTAGGTCACTTACTGTCCCTCAGCAAGCTTCTTCCGGGTCTGAGCTCTCAGGCTCTCAGTCCGACTCGAGTCCAGATCAGACCCGGGATCCTATTTTTTATCCACTCTGAGTGTTGTTCTCACCGAACAAGGAGGCTACGTGTCGGTAAGCCCTGAACTTCCGCTGTGATTCAGTCGAATGTACGGAGTACCAGTGGGTCGTCTCCTGCTAGATGCCTCCTCCCGTACGTAGGTACATCCATCAGCTGGACCAAGAACATCCTTGATTCTTACCTCATCGTTTATCGAGATTTGGTTCCAGACCGCGGATGGATGCCCCAGATCGTGACGGGGAATATGCAAACAGGGGCCTTCCTGGCCGATCTTCTCGCTTGCAGCTCATCGTGAGTGGCAAATGGTGGTACCCATGTTCCTTGTAACACCTGCAGTTCTTTTCTGCCATTATTCTTTTGTCAGATATACGATACGCCACCTTGTGGAGGTTGCCAGCTTTCCACGGCTATGCGGCTTCCGTGTGCATGACTCCATCGGTTCCACACTTGGGCCCTTTCCAGGATATCTTGTAATCTATTGATCTTGTTTCTCCGACCCTCCTGTTCCTGTGGCCACGGGCTAGAAGCAAGGAAAAGGTGATGCGAAAACACGGAGGTAAAGGATCACGGCTGATCAGAACCCCCCTGACGCCCCAAGGGGTCGTTCCGCGGCTCTCAGCCGTCAGGTTCATTGCCATGAGGCAAATGGATCTTCGTATTCGATAATTATAGTTTGGTGAGATTGTGAGTTCTGGGCAAAAGCTACCGAGAAGCTGCGTCGGTAGCTCCACGAGCCTAATTCGGCCTGGGTCTCAAGGGAGATGTCGATGACTTGATGACCATATCGAAGCGATGTATTTTAGCTTTCACTTTAAAGAAAGACCAAAGAACGTGCGGCGCTCTCTTTCGTCAAGCAACGTTCTCTGTTTGTCTAGACATTGAACACCCTTTTCCTCGAGGGGCCTTTTTTAAGCAGATATTGTACAGCACCATGGCGCAGTCAACCGTCCCATGTTATTTACCCAACTTTGGTGCTACGTATGATGGCCCGAAACGCCCTATCTCCATGAAACTGCGAACAGATGCTCTTCAAAGCTCTGGATTGCTATCTGCATGGCGCGAAGGCCAATTGTGCCACTTGTTACAGGCCTCGTGGGCCCTACTTCTACATCGCTACACAGGTTCTGAGGACATCTGCTTTGGCTACCATCAGATTGGTAACGAGTCTCAAGATTTACTACAGTCTTTGGAGGCTGTGGATCCTGCCCTCCTCAAAGTATCAGTCAAAGAAGGCGTCTCCCTTAAGACATTTTTCGACCAAGTCAAGACAAACAACTCTATCGACAGCCCCCCCGAGATAGCCAGAAGCTCGCTCACAGCCTCTGAAAATGCCCTGCTTTTCAACACAATTTTGATGATACGAATCTGTCACGATTCTAAGGGAACCTCACCCGCCATCCCACTACCATCCAGCCTGCCAATAGCGCTTCCTCAGGAGGTAAGTACTGAGAGAGAAGTCCTTTATCTTCCCGTGCAACCTTCTGAAACATATCTGCAGTGTCGGGTTCGCCTTCATGTCAAAGTCCTGCAGGAGGAGGTAAATATTTTCTTCGAATGGTGGAACAATGACATGCCCACCGCGCAAATGAAAAGCATTGCTGGTGCTTTTGAGCATATACTAGCAGATCTCCTTGCAGCAAAAGATACAGCAGTGGACGATCTTGACATCTTCCCAGAAAACGATTGGTCTCGAGTATGCAAATTCAATTCAGTGCTTCCAGAAAAGTACGAACGCTGCATTCATGAAGTGATCCATGAGCGGACTCTTCTCCAACCAGAGAACGAGGCTGTCTGCGCCTGGGATGGTAGCCTTACCTACAAAGAATTGGATTCGCTTTCCTCCAAGGTTGCATATAATCTTCAGGAAAGAGGAGTTGGGCCAGAGGTCTGCGTAGCCCTCTGTTTCGAGAAGTCGGTAAGTGCTACAGATTCCAAGTGATATAGCTGGCCGCGTATCGTCATTTCATTATATGACTTGACATACTCGGTCGAGATCTGCTCTCAAATTGCAGTGCTAATAGATAATATAGAAATGGAATATCGTGGCGATGCTCGCTGTCCTGAAAGCTGGCGGTGCTTTCGTACCTATGGACCCAGCTCATCCTACAGCACGATTGCAATCCCTCGTGCAAGGCGTGCAGGCGCGGATTATGCTTTGCTCTCGAAGTCAAGCAAACAAGCTCCAAACAGTGGCAGAAACACTGATACCGTTGGACGAGCAAACCGTCGATGGCCTTCCGGATCTTCCCACAGGTACTTTCTCCTCGACGACAGTGAAGAGCTCAAACGCAGCATATGTCATTTTTACCTCCGGTTCTACTGGACAACCAAAGGTGCGTCCCCTTCAATTCCGATTCGGTTACCTTGGTGTTAACTCCAGAACAGGGCACACTACTGGAGCATAGAGCATATGTTTCAGGTGCGCTGGCTCATGGACCAGTGTTTGGCCTCACTCCATCAACTCGAGTTTTACAATTTGCATCGCATACCTTTGACGCAAGTTTAGTCGATATCCTCAGCTCGTTAATATTCGGTTCTTGCATCTGCATCCCTAGCGAAGAAGCACGTCTGAATGACATTGCCAGCGTGATAAACGAGATGAAAGTGAATCATGCATCTCTGACGCCATCTTTTATTGGATTCCTCGATCCTGCGGCTGTTCCAGGGCTAGAGACCCTCGTCCTAGCCGGCGAAGCAATGTCTCCGCAACATTTGGCGACATGGTCTCATCTCAAGCTTGTGAACGGATACGGCCCAACAGAGAGTTCTGTTGCAGCTGCCCTCAATGCTGATATGTCTCCTTCTTCAGATTGCAGGGATATTGGCTTGCCAGTCGGAGTGCGCTGCTGGGTCGTGAACCCCGCGAACCATGACCAGCTTGTGCCCGTTGGTTGCCCCGGTGAGCTGGTCCTGGAAGGACCAACGCTTGCGCGATGTTACATCAATAACCCACAGAAGACGAACGAAGCATTTATTTTCAACCCTTGCTGGACGAAGCGAGATCGTGCCGGTGGCTCAGACCGAAGGTTTTACAAGACCGGTGATTTGGTAAGATACAATTCCGAATCTGGATCATTAACGTATATAGGACGGAAAGACGCACAGGTCAAGTTCCATGGTCAGAGAGTTGAGCTTGGGGAGATTGAGAACCAGCTGAGCGCAGACACGGACATCAAGCACTGCATAGTGTTGCTTCCCAAGTCCGGGTTCGCACAAGGAAAACTCGTGGCCGTCCTGTCACTGTCCGCTGGTCTTGGAGAGGCGCTGGAGACAGATGCGGTGCCCCTTAAGCTTATCGAGCATCGTGAGAAGCTTCAATATGTCAAGGATATTCGGGAACGATTGTCAACTAGGCTGCCGACATACATGGTGCCCGGAGTCTGGCTATGTGTCGAGACTTTGCCGATGCTTGTGTCTGGTAAACTAGACCGGAAATCTATTGCGACCTGGGTTTCGAACATGTCAGAAAACCCAGAAGTACATGTTACTGAGGCCGCCAATACTCGTGCCGCTAACTCGACGGAGGATCAACTGGCGTCGATTTGGAGTCGTGTGCTCAACATACCCAAGGATCGCATCGGCGTTGACGAAAGCTTTTTGAGTCTAGGAGGAGACTCCATTGCGGCGATAACCTGTGTTGGCCATTGCAAGAAGCAAGGCATTGGCCTTACTGTGCAGGAGATACTTCGCAGCAAATCCATCAGAGAATTAGCCACGCGCGTCAAGGGAGTGACTCAACCGGTAGCCTACCACGAAACGATTGAGGAACCTTTTGGGCTCTCCCCAATACAGAAACTGCATTTTATGGTGCGCAAGGAAGGACAGGGCTACTTCAATCAAAGTGTGCTCACTCGCATCGACCACCAGATCAACGACCAAGATATGCGCCGCGCAGTCGAGGCGGTGGTTATGCGCCATTCCATGCTTCGAAGCCGGCTAGTCGATCCCGGTACGGGTAGTTCTTTACAGCAGCGCATTACTGAGGACGTCGCTGGCTCGTACCGCTGGCGAACGCATCATACGACCTCGCAGAATGAGATCGAGAATGCTATTGCGGAAAGCCAGTTGTGCATCAATGCCTTCGTCGGCCCTGTTTTTGCGGTTGACTTCTGCTATGTTGACGACGAGTCGCACAATCTCCTGTCCCTGGTGGCTCATCATCTCGTCGTTGACATAGTCTCGTGGCGTATCATTCTGGAGGACTTGGAAGATTTCCTGCTAAACCCTCAAGGCTTCGTTCTACAGAACAGCTCCCTTCCATTCCAGACATGGTGCCGCCTACAAGACGAGCAATGCGAATCTCTCGCCTCCGAGAATGGAGTGCAATTGGAGGATCTTTCTGCTCCAGACCTTGCCTACTGGGGAATGGAGCAGCGTCAGATGACGTATGGGGATGTGGTCTGTGAGACTTTCGAGCTCGATTCGGATAGCACTCACTCGATCTTGTTGGAATGTCATCAGAGTTTACGGACGGAGCCGGTTGATCTGTTCCTCGCTGCTCTCCTGCACGCATTCGGACAGACCTTCCCAGAGCGTACTTTGCCCGTGATCTACAATGAAGGCCATGGCAGAGAAGTGTGGGATTCGAGTTTAGACATATCACGGACTGTGGGCTGGTTTACGACCCTTTACCCAATATTCGTACGCGAAATCTTTTCCGATGATACGGCGAGAACTGTTGCCCGTGTCAAAGATCTGCGTCGGCAGGTGTCTGATAATGGCCGACAGAAGTTCGCAAGCCGCATGTTCACAGGCAAAGGACAGGAGACATGCCAACACCACTGCCCCCTAGAAATGACTTTCAACTACGTCGGGCAGCATCGCGATCTGCAGAAGCAGGACGGCCTTTTCCAGCTTATGGGACACATGGCTGGTGAGACTGGCCAGGGTGGAGGTGCAGCAGATTTTGGCGAAGAAACTCCACGATTCGCACTTTTGGAAATTTCAGCGTTGGTAGTGCAAGGCCAACTTCGGTTTACGTTCTCTTTCAACCGGTTCATGCGGCATCAAAATAGCATTCGCGCCTGGATATCACGTTGCTATCAGCTGCTTGCTTCGCTCGGCCAGAAGCTGCAGTCTCTGGCCCCTCAACCTACCCTGAGTGATTTCCCAATGCTCTCACTCACCTACGAGGAGCTCGACCAGATGGTTTCAGTGAAGCTACCAAGCGCGGGCATTACTTCCCTTGATCTCGTCGAGGATGTCTATCCTTGCTCGCGCATGCAACAAGGTATTCTTCTCAGCCAGTCCCGAGACAGCTCGGTTTATGCTGTGCATGATACCTTCGAAGTGAAAGGCGTCAGGATCAAACCTAGCATCGATCGTTTGATCCTCGCTTGGCAAAGGGTTGTTTCGCATCATGCAATGCTACGAACTGTTTTCCTGGAGAACCTGACAAGCCAGGACTTGTTTTGTCAAGTCGTTCTCAAGGAATACAATCCAGCTCCCGCGGTGCTGAGATGCTCCGAAGAACGTGATGTGCTGTCAACCTTTGACAATCAACAGCCGGTGAACTATCGTGACCGCCGTCCTGCTCATCGTTTCAGTATCTGCGAGACAGCAACTGGCAAACTATTTTGCCGACTTGAGATAAGCCACGCCGCCATGGATGGAACGTCCATTTCCTTGATCATTCGAGATCTGCAACTGGCTTACAGCGGTCAGCTTCGGGACGACCGCAAACCCATGTTCAAGGATTACATGCGGTACTTGCAGAGCTGCTCTCACAGTGCTGGCCTTAATTACTGGTGCTCTTATCTTTCCGATATCAAGCCGTGCCATTTCCCCGTGCTCAACGATGGTAGACCATCCAACAAGCGGCTGCAAGCGATTCGTCTAGATTTTCCATCCTTGAAAGAGCTTCAGACGTTATGTGAGAGCAGTGGATTGACGCTTTCTACGGCATTCAGTACGGCTTGGGGACTTACACTCCGCTCGTTTTGCGGTTCCAACGATGTGTGTTTCAGCTACATGGCTTCTTTGAGAGATGTCCCGGTCGATGAAATTGGCTCTGTTGTCGGACCGATCATTAATATTCTGGCTTGTCGAATGAAGGTCACAGAGGACGCCTGTCTCAAAGACGTCTTGAATCAAGTGCAAAACGATTACATGGAGAGTCTACCTTACAGGCACACTTCTCTCATTGATATCCAGCATGCCTTGAAACTCTCAGACACGATCCTGTTCAACTCAGGCATCTCCTATCGGAAACTTCCACCGCAGACCGTCAGCAACAGGGATGAGATGCGACTTTTAGAGGTGGGATCGATCCATGATCCCGCGGAATTCCCGGTATATGTCAACATCGAGGCCACAGATGATGTTGCATACATTGACCTCAACTACTGGACGACTGCTCTGTCTGAAGGCCAGGCGCAGAATGTTGCCAGCACCTTTTTACGGTCCCTCGAAAACATAATTCACCATGGCGACGAGAACATTTGCCGACTGGATCAACTGAGCGTACAGAACAAACAACAAATCGCTGCCTGGAACAAGACTCTTCCTAAGGCTGTTGACAAGTGTATCCATGAGATCCTCGAGGACAAGGTCAAGCAGTTCCCGGAAGCTATTGCAATTGCAGCTTGGGATGGGAACCTCACTTACGCCAAGCTCAATGAGTTGTCCTCGCTTCTTGCGTTCTATCTGACCAAGCTCGGTGTGGGACCTGGCCTCTTTGTGCCTATTGATTTCGACAAATCCTCATGGCAGATTGTTGCTATCTTAGCGGTTCTGAGGGCCGGCGGTATTTGCCTTCCAGTCGACGAAGCTCAACCATATGATTTTATCGAGAAATTGTTGATTGACAAAGATGTTCAAGTCGCTCTTGCCTCCCCGAACAAAGCGCAGCTTCTAGAACGCACAATTCCTTATGTCGTCCCAGTGGGAAGGTCGCTTTTCGACTACCTTCCTCGTTCAGATGACATACCACATATCTCTCATAAGGCAACGGACCAGGCTTACGTTGTGTTTACTGGCGGTGGTGTCGAGGAACCGAAAGGCGTTATCTTTGAACATCTTACGGTTATGACACGGGCTGAGAGCTTCGCTTCGGCTCTCGAACTGAATAAAGCGACCAAGGTGTACCAGTCCGCCACCTACACGTCCGACATGTTCCTCCAAGTGCTTTTCGGTACGATGATGTGTGGTGGTTGTGTTTGTATTCCTGCCAACGATGGATTCAGCAACCTCCCACAATCAATCAATGCCTCCCAAGCAAACACAGCCATTATGACTCCATCACTCACATCTCTGTTGCAGCCATCCGAGGTCCCCAATGTGCAGGCACTGGCACTCTATGGTGAGATCCTGACAAACCAGGTTAGAAAGATTTGGTCCGGAAGGGTTCGTATGCATTCTTTGTATGGAGCAGCCGAGTGCTCTTCAAGCTGCATTCATGCCTCAGAGTGTCAAACACCGGGTGAGACAAGGAACCTTGGACTTGCGGCCGGGTGCATAACTTGGCTTGTTGATCCTTCGAATCATGACCTTCTGGTTCCGATTGGCAGTGTCGGTGAAGTGGTCGTTGAGGGTCCCGCCATCGCTGCTGGGTACTTGCTGGACAATGGGCATGTCCAGAGAGGCTTCATTGAGGATCCCGTTTGGACTATGACCTTTGAGCGAGACGAAGCCAGCAATGACCACGAGAAACGTGACAAAAGCTCGAGACTGACACGGCGGATGTTCAAGACCGGGGACCTGGCCCGCTACAATTCGGATGGCACATTGGTCTACATGGGAAGAAAGAAAAGACAGACCCAGAGACTGCAGGTGGACGTATGGGAAATCCAACAGTGCATCGATGCGTTTTCGTTACCTGACCATCCTTGCGTTGTGGAGCCGATTCGTTGCTCGGATGACGATGAATCCACGGAGTACCTGGCTGTCTTCGTCCAATTCATGTCAACTCACTTGGAGAAGGCCGATGGCCAGAGATCTATAATTGGGCAAGCTTCCTCGCAATTTTCTGATTTCGTCACCAAAATGCACACGCATCTGCTGAGTGCCCTGCCTGCGACTCAAGTTCCGAGGTTGTACATTCCTGTTCCCAGAATGCCCTTGACATCACTTGGTCTGCTTGACCGTCGGCTTCTGAGGAATGAGGCACAGGACCTTCCTGCACGGACACTCCTCGAATTTGATCTGAAAAGCTTCCATGAGTTTTGGCGGGTTGAATTGGCCAATCCGAAGACCTCCCCTTCCCAATCATTCCCTTCATCGACGAGTGCTACCCATAGGAGCTCTACTACCAGCACGTACGAATGGAACGGCAACATTGAATGGCGTGATATCAGCAATTTGGAACGTGTGAGCCTTGAGACCGCGCTTCTTACCGCATGGGCCCTCACTATATCCGGCTACACTCGATCGGACGATGTCATCTTTGGAGAATTGCTTCTCGACCAGCTGGATTCTAGTTCCGATAAAGCGGCGCCCGCCGTGATTCCGAGAAGATTCCGAATGGATGAGGATATGACCATTGCGGAACTCATGGGAAAGATCCAAGAGCGCCTAGCAGCTGCTTCTCCCTTCCAGAGAGCTGGACTTCAACGCATCAGAAACGTCAGCGCGGATACTTCCCGTGCGTGCAGCTTCAGTAACCTTTTCTGCTTTGCGAGATCCGACTGCGAGGTGCAGACTCCTGCTCTCGCATATCCTCTAGCAATCTTCTGCAGTGTCGCAAAGTCGGAGCTTCAGCTGAGAGCTTGCTACGACGAACAGGTTTTGTCTGCTGCCCAGCTTGAGCGTATCTTGGTACAATTCGCACGCTACATTGAATACTTGAAGACAGATCTCCGTTCTCAAGAGACGATCGGTGGCATGGCTCTCCGCAAGGATCAGACTTGTTACTTGTCCAGCCCTGATACTGCCTACTGGAGGAAGTACCTTGTTGATGTCGAGTCCTGTGCTTTCCCTTCTTTGAACCCGGACAACGAAAGAAGTGGATTTAGCTCGGCAAAATTGGTGATTGAAAATCTGGCCAATTTACGCAGCTTTTGCCAGAAGATTGAAGTAACCGAGGACATTGTGCTACAGCTCGTTTGGGGGTTGGTTCTGCGATGCTATACCGGTTCAGAAGAAGTCTGCTATGGTTACTACCCTGAAACGCCACAATCCGAGGGGTCGAAGTACCTGAAAGTACTTCCAAGTAGGCTTCTTCTTAGGGACGACTCCGGCCTTGGGTCAATTGCTCAGCAGAGGAAGAACGAGTTGGATCAGGCGATGGAGCACGCCATCTCTCAGATGGAAGTGCAGCATGAACTTGGCATTGACATGCATTCCCTCTTCAACACTGTCTTCAAGTTCGACAGGTTTACGCATCTTCCCAGTGACAATAATGGCCTATCAACCCTGCTGAACGACACCGAGAAAGGCGTCTGCACGATTGCTGTCAACCCCAGATTTTCATCTGTGTCTGCAGAAATCCTGTTTGAATACCGGACAGACGCCTTGTCAAAAGCCAATATTACGAGTGCTGTTGATTGCTTCCAGCACATTCTGGAGGAGATTATCGACAATGACCCTGTCGACCATAAGATAGGGGATATCAATTTCTTCAGCGAACGTGCTTGTCAACAAGTACGAGAGTGGAACGCTACGCTACCAGAGAGACCTGACAGATGCGCACATGAGATAATTGAGCAGCAGGTGCTGAGCCACCCTACTTCGCCTGCAATCTGTTCGTGGGACGGCGACTTTACTTACGAACAACTCGACCGTCTATCAAGTAAATTGGCAAAGCATCTTGTTCGCCTGGGGGTTAAACCCGAGGTCTTTGTTGGATTATGCTTTGAAAAGTCCGCTTGGGCAGTCATCGCACAGGTTGCGGTTCTGAAAGCTGGAGGAGCATTCGCATCTCTGGATCCCACTCATCCAGAAGCGAGACTTAGGGGCTTGGTTGACGATATTGGCGCTCACATCGTCCTTTGCTCTGCAAAATATCTCGACAAGGCTCGCCAGATGTCCCGTGCCGCCTATGTCGTGAGCGAAGAAACACTCAATGAACTGCCAAACGCATCGTCTACTGCGTCGATGACGCAGCCCAGCATCCACAACGCAGCTTACGCTATTTTCACCTCTGGAACAACTGGCAAGCCAAAAGTGACTGTTATTGAGCACATTGCTCTCAGCGTGTCTTCACCAGCTTCTGCTCGTAGCTTGGGAATGGACACGACTACCCGTGCTCTGCAGTTCTCCAGTTATACTTTTGATGTGAGCATAATGGAGATTATTATTGTCCTCATGACGGGAGGTTGTGTTTGCGTTCCCAGTGAAGACGAGCGCATGAACGACCTGGCCGGTGCGATTAGGAGACTGAACGCCAACTTCATCAGTTGTCCTCCATCAATTGCAAACACGATCCAACCCAAGAGTGTCCCATCAGTGAAAACTATTGTTACGGGAGGTGAAAAGATGACTGCGAGCCATATCGACCGTTGGTCCGATAGGTGTGTCATCAATGCGTATGGGCCCTCTGAGTCGACCGTTACGGCAACGATGAGTGTCAAAGTGGATGAAGCAGGAGTACGCGTCAACAATGATTGCAACTCGATCGGTGCTGCAATTTGCGGCCGCACTTGGGTGGTTGACCCTAACAACTATCAGCGCCTTCTGCCTGTCGGGGCTGTGGGTGAGCTGGTACTTGAGGGCTGCAACGTTGCCCGTGGTTACCTCAACAATGACCAGAAGACGAAAGAAGCATTTATCAGTGAGCCTGCCTGGACGAAGGCCCCAGAATTTCAAGGAATATTCAAGAGAAAGGAGCGCATGTATCGGACTGGTGATCTTGTCCGCTATAACCCGGATGGCACAATTTGCTTCGTCTCGCGGAAGGACACCCAGATCAAGTTCAACGGTCAGCGCATTGAACTGGAAGAAATCGAACAACAATGCATCTCTTGTTTTCCTGGAGGCACTCAAGTGGCTGTCGAGGTTGTACAGCCCGAATCGAAGACAGTTGCCAGATCCATCGCAGCTTTCTTTACTGTTGACGACCAATCTGGTCTAGACAGAGCTGATTTGGATTCTCAATTGCTCGTTCCTATGGCAGAAGCAACACGCGAAAAGGTCAGAAAACTCAGGGAGGCCTTGGCCAAGGCTCTGCCACCAAGTTTGATACCAAAGCTTTTCTTCCCAGTCTCCCGCCTGACTTTCTCAAACTCCGGAAAGCTCGATCGCAAGAAGCTCCGGGCAACTGTTGAGACTCTGCCCAAAGACCAGCTCAAGCCTTACGTTACGTTGACAGCTGGCTCCAGACAAGCGTCTGATGAGGGAGTTGAAGGGACACTCAGAAGCCTCTGGGAGGAAGCTCTGGGCCTTGCGTCAGGTTCGGTCAGTGCTGAAGACAGCTTTTTCAGCCTAGGTGGTGATTCTTTCTCCGCCATGAAGCTTGTTGGAGCCGCTAATTCTCGGGGAATCTCTCTCACATTTGCCGACGTTTACGAGGATCCAGTCTTTATGAATATGGCTAAGCGATGCGGCATGTTGCAAGAAAAGTCCAGCAGACAAACTGTGACTCCGTTTAGCCTGCTGCCTTCCGCAGTCGATCGTGAACAGCTCTTGGAGGAAGTCGCGGACCAATGTGACGTACCTCGAGCATCTATTGTCGATCTTTACCCATGCAGCCCTGTACAGGAGGGTCTGCTCACTTTGTCAGTCAAGCAGAACGGTGCTTATATTGCCCAGCCAATTTTCCGGCTCTCAGACGAAATAAATCTCGACAAGTTCAAAGCTGCTTGGCAACAGGTTGTGGATGAGCTGGATATCCTGCGGACTCGTATTGTACATACTGAGTCTTTGAACTTCTTGCAGGCTGTTGTTGACAAAGAGGAGATCTCTTGGGTCTCCGCAACCACCTTGGATGAATTGATAGCTGAGAGCCCCGAGCTGCCGAAACACAATGGCGGGCGGCTGACTGGTTACGCAATTGCCGAATCGCAGACTGATCGGTTCTTCTGTTGGACAATCCATCATGCGCTGTACGATGGATGGAGTATCCCGCTCGTCCTGCGAAGAGTGGAGGAAATTTACACTAATTCTACAGCCAGTGCCCGAACGGTTCCCTACAGCTTGTTCATAAACTATCTGCTGGAGCGGAACATGTCAGACTCTGACGAGTACTGGAAGTCTCAACTGGCCAACCTGTCTTGTTCTCCATTCCCACAAAGCAAGAATGCCCTGCCCGACACTGTCCGAGTAGGAAATAGGCATCACAGCAGCATGAAGATCTCTCGAGCCGCCAGCGGAGTTGAGCTGACGATCCCCGAGCTTATTCGTGCTGCGTGGGCGATTGTCGTCTCTGCTCATACCGGATCCGGTGATGTATGCTTCGGCGAGACGCTGATGGGAAGAAATATCGACCTTGCTGGAGTCACATATATTGCTGGACCCGTTCTTACTACGGTTCCTACGCGTATCCAAGTCGAGAACGAGCTTGCCATCACCCAGTATCTGGAGAATGTGCATCATCTGACGACCACAATGCTTCCTCATCAGCATTCAGGACTACAGCGAATTCGAAAACTCAATAGTGACACAGCATCGGCTTGCGAATTTCAAAATCTGCTTGTCATTCAGACTGGAGAGGGTCAGTTGGACAAGGGCTTGTGGGTGGCTGAACCCAACCAAACAAGCGGAGACTTCTTCACTCATCCACTTGTCGTCGAATGCAAGGTTGCCACTTCTGAGGTGTCGATTACGATGCACCATGACGAAATCGTGCTGAACAGCTGGCAGACTGAGAAGCTTATCGGGCAGTTCAGCTTTGTGCTCGAGCAGCTGCTCTCCATCAACAAGGGTGATACAAGGAAGTTGAGCGAGCTCGAGATTTTCAGCCCGCTTGATAGAAACGAAGTCGCCTTATGGAACAAGAGACACCCCGAGGCCGTGGAGAAATGTGCTCACGATATCATTTCCGAGAGATGCTCTACCCACCCCGATGCTCCAGCTGTCTGTGCTTGGGATGGCGAGGTCACATATAGAGAGATGTACGCACTCGCATCGTCTTTCGCGTCCTATCTGGTCTCTCGTAGCGTTGGACCAGAGACTATGGTGCCGATTTGCCTTGATAAATCTCTCTGGGCGATCATCACTATTCTCGGAATCTTGATTGCTGGTGGTGCCTACGTACCCCTCGATCCTGCTCATCCAACATCGAGACATGAAGAAATCCTCGCCGAAGTGGATGCTCGTATTCTTCTTTGCTCCCCTCAATATCAGAGTCGTTACTCGGGCATTGTCAAAACAATCATTCCCGTCAGTAAGGAGACAATCAGAGCTTACGGTGCCCTGAATGGTCAGGCGAAGGGACAAAGCCGTGTCACGCCGTCCAATATGGCCTACGCGATCTTCACCTCAGGAAGCACTGGTCGTGCCAAGGGTATTATCATCGACCACCGCGCACTTGCAAGCAGTGCTATGGCATTCGGGCCGATTGTGCACCTGAATGAGACTTCTCGTGCATTCCAATTTGCGTCCCTTACCTTCGATGCGGCAGTCATGGAAATTCTAGCTACTCTGATGCACGGAGGATGCATTTGTATCCCAAGCGAGGATGAGCGCCTGAATGATGTCGCCGGCGCCATTCGGAGTATGAATGTCACTTGGACTTTCCTGACTCCATCGATAGCCAGCATTATCGAGCCGTCAACCGTTCCCTCCCTCGAAGTGCTTGCCTGTGGAGGAGAGAAATTGTCACGCGAAGTTGTGACAAAATGGGCGCATCGCGTGAAACTAATCAATGGATATGGACCCACGGAGACAACCATCTTCGCTGTCTTGAATAACGTATCCCCAACCACCGATCCTGCTTGCATTGGTTACGGAATACCTTGTACTTTGACCTGGGTTGTCGATCCCGAAAACCATGATCGACTTACCCCATTGGGAGCCATCGGAGAACTGGCTTTGGAGGGTCCAGCTCTGGCAAGAGAATATCTAAAGAACCCCAAGAAGACCGCCGAGGCATTCGTGGATGAGCCCGCATGGAAGAAGCATTTCCGGTCGACCCTGCCGTCTCCGCGAAGAATATACAAGACTGGAGATCTTGTCCGGTATAATCCTGACGGATCGGTGGAATACATCAGCCGCAAAGACCACCAAGTCAAGCTTCATGGCCAGCGTATGGAGCTCGGTGAAATTGAGCATCGGTTACATGAGGACGACCGCGTCCGTCATGCCGTTGTCATCCTACCCAAGGATGGTCTTCTTAAGGGGCGGTTGGTCACAATTCTCTCCCTGAACTCTCTGAAATCAGATTCGAGTATCATCTCCGATAATGCATGCGAGCTTATTAGCCGGGAGGATCTGGCGAGAGTCGCTTATTCTGAACTCATCGCGATTCAGAAGAATCTCGAGGCCCAGCTGCCCATTTACATGGTTCCTCAGACCTGGGCTGTCATCAAGAAGTTGCCAATGCTTGTTTCTGGAAAGCTAGACAGAAAGAAGATTACTCACTGGATTGAGCATATTGACGAGCCAACGTATGACAGGATCATGCAAGTCTATGACAACATTAAGAGGGGTCATGTTGAGGACAGCGTCAAGGAAGATAAGAACACGTCGGTCAAGACCTTGCAAGACATCTACGCCCAAGTACTCAACCTCCCTTCAAACAAGGTCGACCCCAACCGGTCGTTTGTGAGCCTGGGTAAGTGATCATTGTCCTTCTCATGAAGCGAGAAAAAGAGGTTAACTGGTCAACACAGGCGGTGATAGTATTACTGGAATGGCTGTCATTTCTCGAGCTCGCAAACAAGGGCTTAACCTGACACTTCACAAGATCCTCCAGAGCAAGTCCATCGTTGAGCTGACCCAAACAGCGGAAGTCAAGACCTCGAGCATTCAAGTCGAGGAGAAGGCGAATGAATACTTCTCTCTTTCTCCTATTCAAAACTTGTACTTCAAATCATCACGCACATTCAAGGAAACGGGTCGCTTCAATCAGAGTATGACTGTGCGTATTACTCGAAAGGTTCAGCCAAGCGTCGTCAAGGATGCACTCAAGGCAATTGTCAACCAGCATTCGATGCTTAGGGCAAGATTCAGCAGATCTGCAGTCGGAAAATGGCAGCAACGAATTACCAATGTACGTGCAAATCTACTCACTGACTTGATCTTAAAGAGCTAAACGATCACACAGGGCATTGAATCATCTGTTCGTGTTGGTATTCACTCAGTCATGAGCTCCCCTGAGATGCTGGGCAAGATTGCCAATACCCAGTCGTCTCTGGATATCGAGAATGGACCGATCCTTGCGGCCGATTTGTTCAACATTAATGATGACGAACAAGTCCTTTTCCTTGTGGCCAATCACCTGTGTATCGATATGGTTTCATGGCGCATTATTCTTCAGGACCTGCAAGAATTCATCGAGACCGGCTCGCTGTCTTCCGAGAAACCCTTTTCGTTCCAGAGCTGGTGCGAACTGCAACTCGAAAATACCAGATCCCAAACAGATGAGGCCAAGCTTCCGTTTGCCATTGAGCCTCCGAACCTTAGCTACTGGGGCATGGAGAGCGTGCCCAACCATTACGGCCAAATCAGGATGGAATCATTTGTCGTGGACGAAGACATTACTTCGTTTATTCTGGGTGGCTGCCACGAGATGCTGCGCACAGAAACGATCGATATTCTCCTCGCCGCAGTTGTGCAGTCATTCTGTCGGGTCTTCACAGATCGCAGGATGCCAACCATATATAACGAGGGTCACGGTCGTGAATCGTGGGATTCGAACCTTGATCTCTCACGGACTGTGGGTTGGTTCACCACATTGTGCCCACTGCAGGTCGACGAACGCTCAGGTAATTCTCCTCACAAAAGATCTGGGGCGACAGGCTAACTTAAGACTCAGATTTCGTCGACACGGCAAAACGAGTCAAGGACTTGAGACGGAAGATAAAGGACAATGGACGATCTGACTTCGCTCGCAGCCTTCTCCAGCCCAAAAATACCGAGGCGGAGTTCCCTGTTCCGTTGGAAATCGTCTTCAACTATCTTGGTCGATTGCAGCAACTGGAGCGCGATGACTCACTTTTCAAGCACTATGGAGAGGCGTTCGACGAGGAGAAGTTCAGATTAGCTGGAGACATGGGTCCAGATACTCCCCGGTTTGCCCTCCTGGAGATTTCCGCACTTGTCGTCAATGATAAGCTCCAGGTTTCGTTCACCTACAATCGACAGATGAAGCGTGAAAATCAGATCTTCGAATGGATTTCAGAGTGTAGGAGAGTTCTTGAGAGAGATGTCCTTCGCTTCAAGGAGTCCATGCCGGAACCTACCCTCAGTGATTTCCCCTTGCTCCCTATAACCTACGATGGGCTCAAGAAGCTCACGAGCACAACGCTGCCAAGAGCAGGGATCAAGACCTGGAGCCAAGTAGAGGATATCTATCCATGCTCGTCAGTGCAAGAGGGTATCCTCCTCAGCCAGCTTCGGGACCCCAGTGCGTACATGTTCCATGTGATCTTCGAAGTGCGCTCTCCTGGAGGACGCGACAAGGTAGATCCAAACATGCTTCAAAGCGCGTGGTCAGCCGTTATCAATCGGCATCCGATCCTGAGAACCTTGTTCATCGACAGCAATTACGCAAACGGTACCTTCGATCAATTGGTGCTCAGGAAAGTCGAAGAAGGAGCCATCGTTCTTTATTGCAACGATGCCGATGCTCTTGTCAAACTCGATGCTGTCAAACTCTGTGACATCAACGCCGGACGAAACTCACGGCTGTTGCACCAGTTGACAATTTGCAGTACTCATTCTGGACGAGTGCTTATCAAACTGGAAATGAACCATGCCATTATAGATGGCGGATCAGTTGACCTGCTTTTGAGAGATCTAGCAATGGCATACAAGCATCAGCTGCCAGAAGGGTCCGGTCCGCACTTCAGTGACTATATCAAGTTCATCCGCGGGAAATCTCAAAACCAAGCTTTATCCCACTGGAGACAATACTTGTCGGATGCTCGTCCCTGCCATCTGACGTTCTCCGAGGGAGCAAGTGGTAGCCGTCAATTAGGATCAGTGATGGTGCCGTTCAGCAAGTATGCCGAGCTGCAACAATTCTGTGAGAAGAACTCCGTAACACTTGCAAATCTTACTCTCGCTGCATGGGCAATCGTCTTGCAGAGCTTCACGGGTTCGGATGATGTTTGCTTTGGTTACCCTTCTGCCGGTCGTGACGCTCCAGTTCCGGGGATCCAAGAAGCAGTCGGAATATTCCTCAACATGCTCTGCTGCCGAGTCAGGTTCTCACCAGGGAAGACTCTGTTGGAGGTTTCAAAGACAGTGCAGGATGACTACATCAAGAACCTTCCATACCAGGATTGTTCTCTCGCAAGTATTCAGCACGAACTTGGGCAAAAAGACCTGTTCAACACGACAATCTCGATTCAAAACCACCATGCCGTCTCGGAAGAATCTGGAAACGACTTGCTCTCCTTCAATGTACAGAAGGCGCATGACCCGACAGAGGTAAGTTTTACTTAAGCTGCTCTAATGATTAACGGAAAGCTAACTTCTGCAACAGTACCCTGTCACCGTGAACGTCGAGACTGCCAAGGGCCACGAAGGGATCTTGCTACGATACTGGACCGATGCTGTGCCCGGAGACAAAGCCCAGGATCTTGCAGATGCCATTGCCAATATTTTCAGCTGCTTTATTGACAAGTCGTCTCAGCTGGTCTCAGAGTTGGACCTCCGTGGCGGACAATGGATGAAGGGGAACTCTTCGGGAACTGGTCAATTCATTGACAGCAAGTCCCTTCAGGAGCTGATCGATCGCCGTGTCACTGAAATAATTAGCCAAATGCTCAAGGAAGGAACACTGGCCATGCCCGCCGTTGAGAGTGGAAAGGGCCAGTTCAAGGGGACGACCCCCGTTGAACCCGTTCATGTTGCAGTTAAGGCAAGAAGCATGCCCCGTGAAAGGGATCTTTCTGACTCGACGGCAACTCTCACTGAGGATCACTCAAAGCTCGTGGACCTAGAAAAAAGGTTATGGAAACTTTGGTGCTCGGCATTGGGCCTGTCATCCGACACTATCCAACACCAGGCGAGMTTCTTCAAATTGGGTGGTGATAGTATAACTGCGATGAAGATGGTCAGCGCTGCGCGCGAGGATGGGCTGACATTGACTGTGGCTGATGTTTTCAACAATCCTGTCTTTGAGGACATGCTGGCAGTCGTCAATGTTTCCAACTGTTCGTCTGCTTCGGAACCTGACTCTCAGACCGACAGTGACAATGAGAAGCCAGCAGAACCTCCTAAGATCGTTGAGCAAGAGCGGAACCCACCGCCACCGGAGATTTCACTCCTGAAGACCGTGCCTTTGAACGACAGCGCTCTGCAGAATGGAATTTGCCCAAAGATCGGTGTGTTTAAAGGAGGTATTGCCGACGTTTTGCCTGTTACGGACTTCCAAGCCATGTCGATTACGGCTACATTGTTCAAGTCCCGCTGGATGTTGAACTACTTCTTCTTTGACGGACGAGGATCGCTGGATCTGAGAAGATTGAGGGAGAGCTTCTTGCGCGTTGTTGATGCTTTCGACATTCTCCGAACTGTCTTTGTCTGTTTCAATGGCCAGTTCTTCCAAGTGGTGCTAAGAAAAATACGGCCAAATATCTTTGTTCATGAGACCGAGAAGAGCTTGGATGAGTACACTGAGTACCTCCAACAGCAAGATCGCGAGCAAGAGGCGCGGCAAGGCGAACAGTACGTGCAGTTCTACATCGTGAAGAAGAAGGGCAGCAACCACCACCGAATCTTGATTAGAATGTCGCATGCTCAATTCGACGGACTATGCCTGCCCACCATCATGTCAGCCATCAAATTGGGATACGAGGGCAGTACTCTGCCCCCGGCTCCTTCCTTTGCGAATTACATGCGCATGCTGTCGGGAGCAATCACTCCAGACCACTATCAGCATTGGACAAACCTGTTGAAGGGATCGAGAATGACGCAGGTAATTCGAAGAACCGAGGAGAATAGCTATCGCCATATTGGTGCTTTCACGGAGCAAAGAAAGACTCTGGAGATCCAACCCTCGGTCCTTGAGAATGTCACCATTGCTACCGTCATGCAAGCAGCATGGGCGGTTACGCTGGCCAAGCTGTCCGCTCAATCAGACGTCGTCTTCGGACTCACGATCAGTGGCAGAAATACTTCAATCCCAGGCATTGAAAACACTGTTGGCCCGTGTCTCAATGTGATTCCAATTCGAGTCACTTTCAAAGAGGGCTGGACTGGTGTTGATCTGTTCCGCTATCTACAAGATCAGCAGATAGCAAATATGCCCTTCGAAGCCTTGGGTTTCAGAGAGATCATCAGACGCTGCACTGACTGGCCCAGCTCAACATATTTTGCCACCTCGGTCTTCCACCAGAACGTCGAATATGAGGGCCAGATGCAGCTAGACAACACTACATACAGAATGGGAGGCGCCGGTGTCGTCGACAACTTCACCGACATGACATTGTTCTCCAAGTCGTCCAGCGACGGCAAACTAGGTGTCTCTCTAGGGTACTCAGAAAAGGGCCCCATCGGCCCTAAATTCGCTGCCAAGGTCCTGAACATGGTCTGCGACACCGTGCAAAGCCTGCTGGCCAACTCCCGTGTCGGGCTCCCGTCCCCATCCATGCTTCGCTCATTACCTTGCCAAACCGTCCACGACGTTCCCAGAATGTCAGACGAGATGTTCCTGTCTTCACATCTGAAAAACCGGAGCATCTCGGATATCCTCGTCCACTCAGACGTCCTGACGCAGGCCTGGCAGCAAGTCCTCCCTCGCAAGAATGCCGACGAGCCTCAATCCGCCTTCCAGCTAGACTCGTCCTTCTTTGAACTCGGAGGCGATGTTTTCGACATGGCACAAGTCGTCTGGCTCCTCGAGCAGGAAGGACTGCAGGTTCACATCGAGGACCTCCTTGAACACCCGACCTTCCTCGGGCAGATGGCCGTCTTGACGCTGCACAACTCACGGAAGAGCGATTCCATGGAGGAAATCGTGGCCGTTGAGGAGATTCCTTTGCCTGCCGCGAGGACTGGCACTTCAAGTTCGCTAGGGAAAGCCTTGACACTGGCGAAGAAGGTCACAAGATGGAGCGCACTGTCGGCTCGAGGGTGATCGGCCAGAGCATTCCCATATAATTCTATTCACTCATTGTTATTTTCCTTTACTGATTGGCGTGCATGTCATGTGGTCACGCACATCTCCTTTGTCTTGGATACTCTGCTGTTTACTTATAATGTTTGCTGTGTATATTGGCGGCTCCAATCTTTTTGACTTTTGATAATCTTTTGGATATATTCGTTGTTTAATGACTCTAGTATGTAATAATATCCATTATTTGTTTACATTCAAACTTTTCAGGCAGATGCAATATGCACAGGGGACGAACTGACGCAGAATGCATCGGACATGGTGGTATCTCGTAATATCATGTGCCAATTGGGAACCGACAGAAGAAGAAATCAAGTAGATGAAGGGTATAAGAAAGTCGCAGATGGTATATTCAACGTGACCCGGAAATATGCAGAAATCCGAAAGTATTTAACAAGAATGGAAATGCAACGATCTACCGGCCATGAGCATGACCGTAAACAGAAGCTTGAGACCACTTTCCACGCGCCCTGATCCGCGGTCCGTAGATGTAGAACAGGAACGGGATGGGGATCAGCGCGACAGCCACGAAACCCAGCGTGCTAGCCGCCCAGTTGACGCCCATCTTGCGGAACATGATGCCCGCGAAGAGCGGGAAGCAGCCGGCGAACAGGCTGCGGAGGAAAGTGTTTGCCGCGACGGCGCTGGCGGCGTATTGCTGGAAGGTATCGATGAGGTAGTTCAGGGCGGCCTGGAAGATGGTGAAGAAGCCGAAGCCCATGGAGACAGCGCCGGCGTTGGGGCCGATCCAGTGGATGTTCTTTGCGCCTGTCCAGCCGAAGACGAACAGGCCGGCGGCGAAGAAGACGGATCCAACCATCATGGGAGGGAGGCGGGCCTCGGGGACGGGGAAGTTGTTGTTGGCTTTGAAGCGCTTGATGTAGAACCGCTGGTTGAAGAGATTGAGGGCTGCGCCGAAGAGGATGCCGATGAGGTAGGCGAGGAAGGGGAGGGCGCCGACGACGGGGTTCCAGCCGCGGACTTCCTGGAATTCGACGGGGAAGGACGCGAGACTCAGGTAGAGGATTCCGTAGACGAAGGACGCGTAGAGGGCGACCAGGAAGCAGATCGGGGTGGCTAGCAGTTGGAAGGGGCGAACGAGGTATTTGTTGCCTAGTTCCTTGAGGGTCACGTCCCATTCTTCGTGCCGCGCGTGCAAAGCCCAGTTGCCGCTCTCGTATCGGAGCCGGCGGGCTTTGTAGACGAGAAGGACGGGTGGGTAGCTTTCGTCGAGGAAGATCACGTCCAGGGCGAGGAAGAACATCATCATGATGCCGGTGATCTTTGGTACGTCTGTATTTAGCTGCTGTTTATCAAGACGATATGAGCTGCACTCACGTATTGCGTCCATCTCCAGCCAAGGTAGCTCTGGACGATAGCACCGCCGACGATTGGCCCGAGCACAGGACCACCGACAACGGCCATGGCATATCCAACAATAGCTGCACCCCGCTGCTCTGCGGACCAGATATCGCCCAAAACGCCGCCGGTGTTGGTGACGGGAGCCGAGCCGAAGAATCCAGTGAAGAAGCGGGTGATCATGACTGTCTGCAGATCTTTGGCGGTGGCAGTGCCGAACGAGAATATAGCGGCGATGAAGTAGGGTATGAGAACGGCAGGTTTACGCCCGTATACTTCGGAGAGAGGTGCAAATACAAGCGGACCAAGTCCTGAAAAGTCAATAAACAAAATTGGTCGCCTCGTAAATGCCAGTGACCATCATCACATACCGAACCCAAATAGTAGTAATGTTGTTCCAAGTGTGCCGACTTCCTCTCCAACGCCGAATTGTTTGGAAACTTGAATGGTGCCGGTGGAATAACTGTCTAAGTGTCAACATGCTGATGCAGGTGAAGTGTCGTGGCTAGCGGATTTCCGTACATTGAACTTGCCCAAGTCGCACCTATTATTCGTAAACAATCAGTTAGCCCTGCTTGGTTTGCATCTCTGGGAGCGGGAGCGGCCTGTGTATACCCATTGTTGTCAGACCGTATAGCACGGTGGTAACAGCTTTCTTCCTAAATCCCCAGTTCAACGGCCTGTAGGGGTCATCAGGCCCGTCGAAATCCACAATGACATCTTCCGTCGTTTTGGTATGCGACAAAGGGTGCGTGAAACGAGCAGTTTGCCCAGGTTCCCGACTTCGGATTCTCGATATCACCGACTGTGCGCGCTGTTCGAGTACTGACAGCCCCGAGGCCGCAGTGGTCTGCTTTTCCAGCGCTGCGTTGTCGAGTTCATGGCGGCCGAAACCATTTTGTTCACTTCGAGATTCAGCATCACTGTCCGTCGTAGACGTGCGGGAAGATGTGCGGGAAAAATGGTCGTTATCGGTCATGACTTCATAGAAGCAATATTGCGACGGCGATAGCAAGGTAACAAAAGCTAAGAAACAAAGAAGTACGCTATAAGAACATAGACCAGCGAAACGTCCTATTTCCGCAAAATTTGACAGAAATCAAATTCCTTCTGCGTAGAGTGGAAAAGTGTATTTCCCTAGCAAAGTTCGGCGCAAAAACGGGTTTGCCTTATAGGTGATAACAGAGTTACGACGTCACCCAAGTTTGTAGGGGATTATATCTCGGTTCTCCCACACCAAGCCAATCATAATATGATCGAGCGATCAACTGAATCAATGGCACCAGACATGGGGATTGGAGCTTGTTATAAACAAGACTAGTCAAAAAGTCCCAAAGAATTGCCATCGTGACGAGCCGTCTTAACCGGACCCTGGCCGTCAAAACCCTAGACCGATCGGATGTCCGATAAGTACCTGGACTGGTGCCCTTCTGCTTACTCACAGAGTAAGTGTGGATTCTGAACATCTCATGGCTTTAGACTTCAGATAGAGTCCTCTCACGAGTGGATGGAAGACGACATTAGCATGCGATCTATCCGGCATCGACTTATCGACACGAAACATGTCAGCGACTCCATATGCACTCCATCTCAAAAGTGAGATGATTCAACGTACACGAAGCATCAGTGAACAAGCGGCAATATCCGTCGGAATTTTTTCCGAGCCCACGTTGAGTGGATAGGAATAATGGATCGCCACCATCGGCGTTCCATAAAGTGGAACTCGGCAATGGAAGCAATCCTGATGGCTTCGGGACGGGTAGATAATTCTTGCCCATCGTGGAAGAGCCGCTAAGAATCGTCTCAATGGGGAATTCAAGTCCGGCAAATGGACGGGGATGCGATGCTCCCATATATGGTCTGAGGTTTTGTCGAAACAAGCAACGGTTCTTGACTTCTTGGGAACATCCCAGATGAAGATCACAGTCAATCGCCGAAGCACCACGATATATGGAATATATCACGTGACTACATGCTCAAATAGATTGTCTATCGTGCTATTCTGCCATGACAAGCTTGATAAACCTGTTTCATACCATCGTACAACTCATATAACCGATCATGCACATAATCCTTAGACCGTCGGATGTGTGCTCTCCCACCTTTGCACTGCTTCCATGGCAGCTGTCACCTTGAGACCTATACGCGCATCAAGCTCATAGCTCTCCCACTTTGCCGCCTTTTCCAGATACTCTTTGCACTTCCGTACCTTTTCACTCTCGTACTGTAGCGCATCATTTGCGTCGACAGGCCCAGCAGATTCTTTGTCCGAGACTTGTCTCGTCCCGCCGTGGTTGGCGATGTATGTTGGGCGTTCCATCCAGAGATTCGCCGCCATTTCGAAGTGGGCCACTGGACAAATCCAATCGTCCTTCAGGTGGCCCTTGAACAATGCTCGGTCCTGGCTAAGGATATCCTCGAGCATTTCCTTCGCCTGCGCGTGTTTGCGCAGCGAGCGGTGAACAGCGGCTCGAAGCAACTTCAAGATCGCTTTCTCCTCTGGGCCCTCTCGTGACCAGGTCTTATTCGCGCTGGACTCACTCCAGGCCAGTTTCTGCAACGACTCTTGCAGCTGCTCGTCCGTCATACGGCTATGACCGTTCCAAAAGAAGATCATTTCCTCAATCGGGTCAACGCCAACCGCATCGACCAGAGGCACCTTCCACTCCTTGGCGCGTGCCTCCCATTTAGCAAACTTGCGAGCCACAAATACATCGAAAGGCAGTTGTCGTGCCATGAAACGCTTCTTTCCCGCTACTGTGGGGGCCATTCGGAAATATTTCTCAGCCAATTCGGCATGCTCTACGGCTTTCGCAGAGTCTGTCTCCTTCACGTCCCGGTATAACGACAGGTGGCACGACCCAGCAATGTAATAATACAATGAGCGGGACCAAGAGTTCAGGTCAACACACTACGTCAACGCGTTAGTATGCTCGTCTGCGATTTCTCTCTGTGAACAGCTCTTACCTCAAGAAAGGAATCTGCACACAGCTCATACTTGTGCAGATACATGGCGTTCAAGCTCCGCTCGAAAACCCTCAATGCCTCAACCTGTTTCAGGGGGCTGTGTTCCTCCCCACACAGCAGGTCCAGAGCCCTGTCAAGATTTTTGTTGGCTCCACTCATCCTGGACTCCTCGAGTAGCCAAAGCTGACTCTTGGGAAACCGCTCTCTCATCTGTGCAAGCAGCAATTCCAGCCGCTTCTGTGGATAACCCTGCACATCCCCGTGTTGGCCGGGGATAGAATCGGGCATGATATCGCAATAACGAACGAATCCGTTGTAGTAGCCGAGAATGGCAAAAGCTGCTATCCCTCCGATCAGGTTGTGGAACTTACTGGCCTGCCACAACATTCTCAACCCTCTTTCCTTATCGCCGTGGAACCCAATGATACTGAGCAGCTTGCTAAAAGAGGGTGGCACCATTGAGATCAGCAACAGCAGGACTCCAAAACAGAAATTGGAACCAGAATGCACAAAGACATCGATCTGATTCTGGAAGATGTCGGAGTCAGGGTCATGGTCGAGGATACCGGCGTTGATCGGGGTGGGGGTTTGACCAAGGTCTTCCGCAACGAGAGCTTCGCTGGCGAGATTCAAATCGGCCAACCTTTCATTTACATCGGCATTTTTGCTAGGTGCGGCAAGTGTATCCGCGGCCGCTTCTTTGACTTTGGCCGAGGAGATTGACGAGCGCGAGGACTGAAGGTTGCTAGAGCTGTGCCGCTTGGGAGACGGAACCGATCCAGACGTTGTAGATTCTACCGGAGTCGCAGTGCGCAATTCCTCCATGTATTTCTGTTCCATCTTCAAAATCGCATCGAGAGTGATGTAAGCTTTCCTGAGTCGATAGAACGCTTTTATACTCTCTGTGAGGCTTTCATTCAGCACCCCTACTATGGCGCCCATGAGTTGTGCTATTGCCTGGCACAATGCAAACTCGGTTCCTGGCGAATACATCGGCGAGTGGTAGGTATTCGGTGCATGCGAGCTGTGCTGTGCTCTGTGCTGGTCGACGGATGCACTAGTCTCGGCTTCGTTCAGTCGCTCCGATGCTACAAGAGCGTCAGCGGTCGACAAACCCCTGACAGCGATTGACTGCAATCTAGAACAGGAGATAAACTCTAAGCCCACCTTGGCGCATGATATCCTGTTCAAATCCCAAGGTCGCCCGAATAAAACCGACCACTCCTCTCCCAAGCTGCACGCAAGTACCAGATTTGGTCAGCACAAAGATGATGTCATATCTCGCATGGGGTTAAACATACATTATGGAAGGACGAGGTTCCTTCTGCCAGACCAGCTTCAGCGCCATCGACGTCGTCATTGAGAATCAAAGTGGCAGCTGCATCATCGAGCAAAAGAGTCAGTCTTGGTTCCTAAGTCGCATAGTCCAAGCACATGACTTGAATGCGCGAAAGTTGGTGGATAGGCCAGCTCAGACATACCCCTCATAGCATCCTCAACTAATCGGCGCCGAATGAAATGATCAGTCAAGCGGCATAACGTAGATCAAAAAGAACACTCACGATCCCGCAACTCGACTAAAGAGTCGAGAGACTGCGTCGAGGCATTGGCAGCAGGCTTCTTGCCATAGAGCCATGAACCAACTCGGAACATATTGTGAGTAGTGTTCGCTAGGAACCGGACGCAATAGTGAAAGGAGAGAAATAATAATATTAAGTATATTTACGACAAGAGATACCGAATCAGAAATCTCATATCAGACCGAGAAACGGAAGTGTCCGGACCCGAATGAAGGATATGACGAAATGGGAGAAACGTCGCGTCTCCCTCAGATACCGACTGAGGGCATGGCTCCAGAGAGGAGCTGAATGTTACGTATGAATACTTTAAAAGGAAGAAGAATAAGCAAGAGAACGGAGGAAAACAAATAAAGGTCCGGAGTTGTGCTGATGATAAATAATAATAATATTGAATAAGATCGTAGACGGCTTTATCGGTTTAGTCCATGGCCGGGGGCGGAGCATTCTGCCCGACATGGCTATCCACGATCCATATAGCCCAGCCAGTCATTGTTCAAGTATCCGTTTGATATTCCATCATCAACCATCCAATGGATCGTTCGCTATCTCCAGTGCATACTGAGATCTCTTGTCTATCATCAGTAACTCACCATTCTAGCTAGCAAGCTCATCGGTGGGTTTGAGGCTCTCGTCCCTCCTGTTCCGTTAACCCCGAGAGCCTCAGCCTAATGGACTAGGCGTCAAACCTTTCTGCACGGTCACAATGATCATTGGTGGTTCAGGAAATGGGGACACAGTGATCATCTAGATAGCCTGTTAGTTAGCTTTGTTAAAGTTGCGTCCGTGTTCTGTAGGCTACAGCGTCAGAGGGGGCAGTGGACGCTACCTTGTTACCTAGTTAGGGTCTCTTCGCGCTGCTCACGGAGTTTTGGCCTGAGGCCAAGGCAGATCGCCGCCGCCTTTGACCGACCTTGTCCAGATACCTCATCTAGGTGAACAGACTACTGATCTCTCGACCATAGTAACCTACCTCATTGACCACCTTCTTGGCCTGCCTAATATTTATAAAATTTCCTTTTCACATCAGGGAAACACATCGGCCCATCTTCTCGATCCTAACCTTTTTCGTTTCTTCCTCACACAACGCCGCCATGTCGAACACAACACAGACACAGGATAAGCCCGAAACCTCCGAACAGCCAACACAGCAGAAGCCCACCGTACTAGAGGAAGACGATGAATTCGAAGATTTCCCAGTCGAAGGTGAGCACCTGTGCTGCCCCGCTTAGAGGGAGGCGGGGTATTCCCCCAATGCAACGACGAGCTACTGCTGACCGGTGAGCATCTAGACTGGCCTCAAGAGGAAAGCGAACAAGCAAACGGAAATAACGTCCATCTGTGGGAGGAGAGCTGGGACGACGATGATGCTGCGGAAGACTTCTCAAAGCAGTTGAAGTACGTTGCTCACGGCGCTGTCGAACCTCGCTTTCCCTCGTTGCTGGGAGGATTTTCCGTGGATTCGGGTTCCACCATGCCACATCACATCATGCTCCATCTGTCACGTTTATACCATCGTTACTGACGATGCTATTCGCACTATAGAGAGGAACTCAAGAAGGTCGAAGCATCCCATTAGTATCCATTAGCGCGTTACAGATTTGCGAGAGTGATACCGGTTGAACCGACATGATCCTGGGGCGAACCTTACCGAACGTAAGACCTGCATGCGGTACGGACGAGAATAGATGATGGAAGCTTCGCATACTAGTCAGGCTTAATAACCTATGCCTGTCCTGCCTCGAAAGCTGGTCAACTCTGCGGTTGATGGTATATCGGCTTGAGGGTTATATGGTACAATGTCTGCGATGCAGGCCCGCAGTGAATTGGGCGACCGGTGTATCGATTCTCTACATATCTCCTATTTATTTACAATTAATGAATGAGATGGAACCGTCGTTCGACTGTCATGACGCTTCGCATGCGCAATTAATCACAGCTTGGCGCTCGTATCTATTAAACCACTATATCAGAAACTTTCTTGATTCGAATACTCTTTTCATTTCTGATTAACTCGTTGGTTTATACATTATATTCATAGAGAGCTCGCCTCCCGCTTCTTGAAGGTCTTCATGAACGCGAAAATTTGCTTTTGATTCAAGACATTATTCTTTCGTTTACTTACTTGACAGCGCAGCAACACCAGGCAGCTCCTTGCCCTCCAGAAGCTCCAGCGAGGCACCACCACCGGTGGAGACGTGGCTGAGCTTGTCCTCAGCACCGTACTTGGCCGCAACAGTAGCGGTGTCACCACCACCGATGATGACAATGGCGCCGTTCTTGGCGGCATCAACAGCAGCGTCCAGAGTCTGCTTGGTACCGTTGGCGAAGGGCTCCAGCTCGAAGACACCAGGAGGACCGTTCCAGAGGATGGTCTTGGCCTCGGCAATGGTCTCCTTGTACAGCTTGACACTCTTCTCGCCGACATCCAGGCCCATGTAGCCGTCGGGGATGCCTTCCTCGTCGGTGGCATAGCCGGTCTTGGCGTCGGCGGCGAACTTATCGGCCGTGATGTAGTCGACAGGCAGGACAATCTTGACGTTGTTCTTCTTGGCCTTCTCGATGATATCGCCGACGGTCTTGCTACCGGCCTCGTCGAACAGACTGTTACCGATCTTGACGTTCTCCAGGGTCTTCTTGAAAGTGAAGGCCATGCCACCGGTGATGATCAGGCTGTCGACCTTGGGCAGCAGGTTGTCGATAAGCTGGATCTTGTCGGAGACCTTGGAGCCACCAAGGATGGCCAGGAACGGGCGCGAGGGGCTCTCGAGAGCCTTGGCGAAGTACTCGAGCTCCTTCTTCACGAGGAAGCCGGAGGCCTTCTGGGGCAGGTCAACACCGACCATCGAGCTGTGGGCACGGTGGGCTGTTCCGAACGCATCGTCTGGAACAACGTTATTAGCACCTTCTAGTTCGATCCAGATCAAGAAAGAACTCCATGCTTACTGATGTAGATGTCACCCAGAGCAGTCAGGCCCTTGCGGAACTCGGCAACCTTCTCCTTGTCGGCCTTGACCTTCTTGCCCTCCTCATCCTTGTAGCTACCTTCCTCCTCGGCGTGGAAACGCAGGTTCTCAAGCAGAATGACCTGGCCGCCCGAGGCCTTGCTGACGGTCTCCTCCACGTCCTTGCCAACGCAGTCCTCAGTGAAGATGACGTTCTTGCCGAGCAGCTTCTCCAGCTCAGGAACAACAGGCTTCAAGCTGTACTTGGGGTTCTTCTTGCCGTCGGGACGGCCAAGGTGGGACATGAGGATGACGGCCTTGGCGCCCTTGTCGATGGCATACTTGATGGTGGGCAGAGCACCGACGATACGCTGGGGGTTGGTGACCTCCTTCTTCTCATTGAGAGGGACGTTGAAGTCGACCTGCCAGGCACGGGGGCCATGTTAGCCATTGCGCGCTCAAAACATGGTACTCTCCCGCAAGTCAATCGTCGATTGGCTCATGGATTCGGTTTCAGCACAACGTACCCGGATCAAGACACGCTTGTCCTTGAGGTCGACGTCCGTGATAGCAAGCTTGTTGGTGAGAGACATTGTGTATTGTGTTTCTATCAAAATGTAGGCCGGGTCAGCTAATCGGGCCTGGAAACGAGAAGTAACGACGAGTGTACCTTTGGATTCACTAAACAGACAAAGTAGAGACTGAAAACTCCTGTCCTAATATGCTCACGGTGAGCTTTCTCGATCAACTTCGGTTCGACGGCGGGGTAGTTGGCATTGTTCGTTAAGGTTGACTGTGGTGGGGCTTCCGGTGAGAGATTCGCTGACCTTCGGGCTGATGCGGGACTGATGTCAGAGTCCAGGATCGATGACGGAAGTCTCCGGGGGCCTGGTAGAATATTGTGCCTGCGAATTCTCGATAGCCTCGGATGCATATAGGCTCCGTAGTTATTCGCTGCTGGGACTATAAATAGGCATTCAGCACTCTGTTGGAGATGAGGCAAATTGTTGGGGAGTTGCTTTAGGTACCTAGGATCTTAGTCTACAGAACACCCGTCCAAGTCGCGGCGCTGTTCAAGGAAACTTGGAAGAATTGGCGCTTTTGAATAGTCCATATGATTTGCTCTGTGTATCATGATCATTTATGAGAACGAGAATTGACACCTTTTTGAGTTTCCGAAAGATTGACCTGTACACCAGTCCATAGAAGCAAGAAAGTAAAAGTCCCCCGAGCATTTACAACGCCTGACAACCACAGAAACAAAGAAGAGCAATGAGGGATATATGGTCAAAGAAAAGCAGAAAACAAACCAATGCCGCCGCTGTGTACCGTCTATTCTTCCTCGGCCGCGTTGGTCAACGACAGGTATGCGGTCCAAGCGATACCGACGGTAGATACGAATGGCTGTGACACGTCACGTTTAGCACCATACATATTCGTCATGTTAAGATTTCACTTACAATTTGGAATTGGATTGGCATAACCCGGAAGTTGATGATCTGCACAGCAGGCCACAAGACGAAGTTTGCCTTCAGGGTCGGTAAGTAGACATCCTGGAACTTGCGGGTCAACGCTCTTTTCCCTCCACCCTCGGCGACAGTCATGAATGTGAAGAAGCAGCAAAGACCTTTATCAACATCGTCAGCCAAGCACTTATCTCGGAAATTAGGGGTTTCCATACCGAAAGGAGCGAACATGAGCTGATCAACAACAACACGCTTCAACGCCGGTAACGTTGGGCTCTTCTTGGTCAGTGGAAATGCTCGCGACAGGAAGCCGAACCACTTGAATTGTATAGGCGCCATGAAGAAACCGTACGACATAAATCGGGTGAGTCGCTCGAAATCAAACGGAGGAGGGATGTGCTTCGCATGTCCTAGCTCTCCCAACGGTGGCGGCCGTTCCTTGTCCATCTCGAGGATCTCGATCGAGATGAGATCACCGTCTTGCCTATTTCGTACTGTCGAACGGGCCTTGAAGGCTGTGATCACCTGGGCCACCGTATCTGCGATTCCACCAAGCACCTAAAGTAAACGCTTCGTTAGTCGTGACCTCCGGAAACGAAAGCAGGCAGAGCGAGAGGCTTTGGACAGGTTCGTACCGCGTTGGTGACCATTGTGGTTAGAACTAT